ACCCTCCATCCCTTAATACCTAACATGTAGCTGTATCATCCTGGGAGCAATGTTTGTTGACTTTGGTAGGACAAAAATAAAGGCAGCTAAACGTCTCTCAGGAGATTTTACAGGGTGATATTCCTCACTTATTAGATAACAGAAAAGAAAGTATAGAGGCCAAGGCTAGCTTCTAACTCCTATACAGAGTCTAGGCATGCAAGTCAGTGTATTTTTCTGAAGGCCACCCTCTCAATCTAAGCTTTGATTTTGATAATATTTGAAACAGAGTCCACAGGATAAAGGACCATCAAACAAACAAGAGTATGGGAGCTGGAGAAGACCTCAGGACTCAGCCAAGCTCCTCTGCTAACTGATGGCAGCACAGGGACGAAAACCAAGCACCTGCATCTGTTTCCTTTCACTTTTCCTTTTAATCTTCTTGTCCCTGAATTTTTATTTTTATTCATTTATTTTTTTGAGACAGAGTCTCACTGTGCTGCCCAGGTTGGAGTGCAGTGGTGCAATCTCGGCTCACTACAACCTCTCCTCCCGGGTTCAAGCAATTCTCCTGCCTCAGCCTCCCAAGTAGCTGGGACTACAGGTGTGCATCACCACACCCGGCTAATTTTTGTATTTTCAGTAGAGACGAGGTTTCACCATGTTGGCCAGGCTGGTCTCAAACTGCTGACCTCAGGTAATCCACCCTCCTCAACCTCCCAAAGTTCTGAGATTACAAGCATAACCACCATGCTCGACCATCCCTGAATCTTAAAATTCTTGATCTTAGTAACATTTGATTTACTTGCAATTTCATGGTGTTATGGGATATACAATAAGCAAGGAGTTGGAAGACCTTGACTCAAGTCACAGCTCTGTCACTGTCATGTACTGACTGTGCTGCCTGTAACAAGTCAGTTTTCTTATCTGAGGCTCAATGTTGACATCCATGTAACGGGATTAATGATATCTTCCCTTCTTGCTTTTCTCAACTGGTTGCAAAGTTCAATGAGATGTGTATGAAAGCACATTGTAAACTGCAGTGCTATACAAATTTAAGAAAGTGTTACTATTTTAAGGAACCGCCCCCCAGTTTTCCTGTATCTTCCTCCCTCACATATCTTCAGATCCTTCATTCTATGTTCTGTGCTTTCAGGGTCTCTTTTTTAAACCTCTGTCTTCATTCCTTCAGGATGCTATGTGTCAACAATAACTCTTTAAACCTAGCCTCTGACTAAAAATTTAACATGGGAGGAAAGCTAAGACAGTCTTATATTATTTCTTAAAATTATACCAATCTTTGAGAAAAATAGGATGACCTAGCAGAACTTTATTTCAGGCATTTTCTAACACCATTTTTGTGTGTGTGTGCAATTATCTCAAATGTTTAAAAGCTGTATAAAAATTTTACTCCCTTGTGGGCCTGAGTCATCAGGCACAGTCATTGCCACCCCCAAAAACATTCTAAGTAAAAATCAAATTATCTTAGAGAATACTGGAAACTGCAATTGTGCAAATGTATAGCTTAAAAAGCCCCTGTTTGTTTGTTTGTTTGTTTTTCTGTTGTGGAAAAAGAAAAGGATTAGATCCAAGTTTTTAAGTTCATAGATTTCTCTATTTACTATCTGTGTGGCCTTGGGTAAATAACTTATCTTTAAACAAACAACGTTATTTGTTTTGTCTGAAGAAAAAGAGTCAATAACATCTGTCCCAATGGGTGACTGGGACTGGTCAATGATGGTATTCATGTGAGTTTGTTTCTTTTTGATTTCATGTGACAGAACCACACAGGTAACCCAAGCAAAGAGGTTCTGCTATAAACACACGTGTGACGTCATGAAGGAACTCATGGAAATCAGAGATCAGGAGGTGTGATGGAGGTCGACCTCCCCAAGCCCTGAGACTGGGCCTCTGCTCATTCTAGGGAACCCAGCAATGGAAGTCTGCAAAGCCTCACCCTGGTGCAGGGTGTTGGGTTGACTCTGTTGCTCCTCCTGCTTTTTCTTTTAATTCTTCCATCTATTGGCTCTTTCATGTATGCTTCCCCAAAGCTCAGGTCAGCTAGGTCTCTCTCACTAACTTCTGTCTTTTGACGTCCTTTCTGTTGCTAAGTCATTCTCTTGATGTGTGTTTCCCAATTCATAGTTTTAGAGAGAATACCCAGTTCTTGGACCAGCTCATTTATTCAGTTTAAGGAAAGGGTTCCTATCTAGATTATAAATGGTCACTCCTCCAATATAGGGCCCACGTTGGTGCCATCGACTATCTGCAAGGCGGAAGATATAAAGAGCTATAAACGTGGCTCTTGTATGTGCAAGGGCAGGGCATAGAGAAGTTACCCATAAAGAGGGAAAGTGTGTTGCCTAAGGGGTCAGGTTCTAGACTTTGCTTGAATTCAAATCCTGACTTTGACACTTTGAAAAGATGTGATGGCAAGCAGGTTACTTAAGCTCTCTGGGTCTCAGTTTTCTGATCTGAATAATTGGTATGATAATTCCATACCTCATAGGAGGAGTATTGATGAGTCTTGAGATGGAGTCTCACTCTGTCTCCAGGTTGGAGTGCAGTGGCACAATCTCGGCTCACTGTAACCTCTGCCTCGCAAGTTCGAGGGATTCCCCTGCCTCAGCCTCTGGAGGAGCTGGGACTACAGGTGCGCACCACCACACCTGGCTAATTTTATTTTATTATTTATTTATTTATTTATTTATTGTATTTTAGTAGAGATGGGGTTTTGCCATGTTGACCAGGATGATCTTGATTGCCTGACCTCATGATCCTCCTGTCTCAGCCTCCCAAAATGCTGGGATTTCAGGCGTGAGACACCGCGCCCTGTGGATGAGTTTTAAATAACAAAAGTAAAGCACTTAACACAGTTCCTGACACAAACTAAACCCTCAGTGAAAGCTAGCTATAACCATCTCAGGAGAAACAGATCTGATCCAACACTTGGGGGAACTCTATGAACAATTGTTTACATCCCCTTTGTGTGGAGATAATCAATACTGACCCATCGTAGTCTCCATCTCCAAAATACACGTGCTTCCTGAAAACAGGTGGCATTCCCCATGACCTGACACAATTGCTGAATGCCTCACTGAGGAAACGGGGTGCTACAGGCTTTGGAAAAGTCAGTCCTAGCCTCTTCTCAATGGAATTTAAGTGGCTGGCTCTCAGTTTGCCATCACTGGGCCCAGTTCACGTTGGTTGGCGAATGAAGGCAGCCCAGCCGAGCAGCATCATAAGTGTCGAAGATGAGGCCTTCTCCAGGGGGCTGTCATGTTTGCAGAAATGGAAACTAATTTCTTCTAGCATTTTTCCAACAGGGTATTGGGAAATCATTGGTTTTCATGCAAAGAAAAACACAGTGAGCTAAAATATACATAAAATGAGATGGAGCACTTGATTTGGGATGTAGAAACTTCCTTTAGTGTTATATGGTGATGCTTTATTTATTTGTTTGCATCCGAAAATAGGCCATTTTATATAAGTCAAGTTCAGAGATAGCTGAAGCTTTCCCTTACCAGCTCTGGAACTGTTTAACCCTTTTTAAAATGAGAGTCTTCCTGAAATATACTTCTGCCTTCTTAACAGCAGATGCAAATTTCAAGGCTGACATGTATTGAATACTGACTACGTACCTGGCGCCACATTAGTGCTTTACTTGCATTAATTTTCAACAACAACCCCGTGAAGTGGGTACTGTCATGACTCCTACCTTACAGATGTGGAAACTGAGTCATGGTGAAGTTACGTTAACTTTTCCCTGGTTAAATTGGTAGAAGTGGTGGAATTGGGATTTGTACCCCAGTCTCCCCAAGCTCTGAAGGAACTGGCCATGTTATTGGATAACATTTCAGTTAATAAATGACCTGGATAACCACTAACCATTCAAGTTGGACCTTTGGGAGCCTACACATATAATTTAGAAATGTATCCATTATTCCAAACATTCTTTGACTGCTGTTTTTTTTTGTTGTTTGTTTTTTTTTTTTTTTTGAGATGTAGTCTCACTCTCGGCAACAAAAGCAAAAGTCCATCTCAAACAAACAAACAAACAAACAAAACAGCCCAGAAAGTACATTAGAACCACATCTGTTGGGAAAAATCCATGTTCAATGGGATCTGTTTTCCCATGTGATCAGCAAACGGGTGTTAAATGGAAGTCCCAGGAGTAGTTCTGATAAAATAAAAAGAGTCCAGGAGCATTGCTAATAGCATCATTGGAATCAAGTATATGGTTTTTCATGATGATGACCTTGATATATTTTAATAACTTTTTTATTCCAAAAGTAATGTGTTAATTGAAAACATCTAATAATATCTCTCATCTGGAAATAACTTAGATTTCTGAAATACTTCAGTATTCCCATAGCTATTGGGCCATTTCTCTGATCTCTCTCCCTCTGAGTCCCCTCTCCTCCAGTGGAACATATTGTAATCTCCTGATGGCTCATATTCACCATTATAGGAGCTTTTTATGCACAGTGCTGCTCTAAGTGTGTGTGGTGATTGAGGGGCAATGGTTGGTTGTTTGGAGACCTTTTTAGTTCGGTATTTTTTCTCTTTCTCAGGCACCAGCTGGTGGCCATTGGCTGCGGCTGCTTTCCATGTGTCTGTTTATAGCAACTTCCTGGTAAACTTCCTACCTTTGATTAAGTACTAGGATGTCTAATAACCAGGCTAGTCAGTATGTTTTCAGAGTAAGCATAAACAGGCTCTGGGAGAAGACAAAGGGGCCATCTCTTAAATCAATGTAAACTCTGCAAGTACTGTTTTCATTGCCATAAATGTATTACTTATCTGCATAGAGATAACTGAATTTTGCTTTATTGGTAACATCTAGCTAAGTGGCTCTACTATCGGGGATATTTTGCCAAAAAAGGGGGAAAAAAGAGAGAAAGGAGTGAAGATGGGAGGGAGGAAAGGAAGAGAATAAAAGGGAGGAAAAGAAAACTAGGTTAGTGCTTTCTTTTGGATCTCATTTTGAATTTCTCTCCTGTCATATTTGCTCTTCACAGTGGTCTCAACTTCATTGACTTGATGGTGCGACAAGGGAATATTGACAACCCTCCCAAGACTCCCCTGGTGCCAGGATTTGAGTGTTCTGGGATTGTTGAAGCTCTGGGGGACAGCGTGAAAGGATATGAGGTAATGTTTTGACTCTCACTTAAAGAGTGATATTTATTTGGAATCCATCGAGACAATAAAAGATGATGCAGCAAGAAGTATTTGAAATAACCTAGGGTGTGCATTAAGATTATTGTCTTATATGGACTATTAACAATGTTTATAGTGATTAAGGTCTCCTGCCTTTCTTATGTACGATCTTGGTTGCTCCTGGCAGCATTCTGGTGCAGTGGGCAGGACCAGTCTTGTCCTCCCCTTCATTCATGTCATGCAGCTATGAAACAAACGTATTTGGCATTGGATTAGCTAAGTGTGCATACCGTCTTCCCATATCCAGAACTCCTGTTTACTCATCATCTTCAGCTCAAAATACAACTACAAAACACAGAACTTTGGAGGAAATAGGCTCTCTCTTTTATAATTTGGTTCCTTCAAATATTCACTTAATGGTATGTTTAAGTGATCATTTATAAATCCCTAACTATTTCAGGAATTGGGGAAGTAGCATTTTGGATGAAAAAGATATTAAAGTCAAAGAGGGGAGGTACCCGATAAGTAGAACAGAATTGGCCACGGATTGATGGCTTTGGAAGCAGGAAAATGGGCAAAAGGGTTTATTATATTATACTGACTATACTTTGTATGTGTTCAACATTCTCCATAATAAAACATTTTTTAATTTGTAAAAAGATGTATGACCCTTCCTACTATTATAACACAAATCAAGTAGAAACCAGCCTATAAAAACTGAAAACCTGTGTACAAGTCAATTGCACAAAATTGCAGTAGTTTGGAGTCAGAAAAACTAATGCAAATCAGGTACAAGAGCTCTTACTCATAATTAAGCGCTCCCCTAGGGAGGAATGAATATTTGTGAACCCACTGTCACCAGAACCATGGGGAAGTTAGGTTTCGTCAGCCTCCACCAAAACCCTGCGAGGCGAAGATTGTTATTATCCCCTTGCAGATGAGGTTGGGGAGGCTTCAGTCATTTTTGGTGAGGTCAGAAGAGTAGCTAGTACTAGGAGAACCTGGATTTGCATCACCAGAGCTTTTTTTTTATCCTTCCTACAGTCTCACGATCTGAGGAGTTCTGTATCTTTTCATACATCTTTTTACAAATTAAAAAATTCTTATTATGGAGAATTTTGAAAATGTACAAAAGTAGTCAGTATAATATAATAAACCTTTTTGCCCATTTCCCTACTTGCAAAGCAATGAATCCACGGCCAGCCCCTACTCCCCAGCCCCTAAATACTGCGATAATAAATGCAGGACAGGAGAACTAAAGAAGAATCCTATAAAATGCAATGCCAAAATGCCCTTGAAATTGAATTTGAGCCTGCTTCTCCGTCTCAGTGTGTGTGAGCCTCAGTATCCTGTGAAAACATCAGTATGCTCCAAATTCCTTATGAAGAATGTCTGCAAATCTCGTCCCATGTATCAGCATTTTCACCAATGGTTTCCAGATAAGACAGTAGATAAATGTTGAGAAAGAGGCAGTAAATGAGCCTTTTCTTTTCTTTTACACGAATTTACATTTTTCTGTTCCCCAGGTAAGCAACATAACCAGAGGTGTACTGTCTCACCCTGAAAGTGCTGCACATAAGAAATTTTTTTTTTTTTTTTTTTTTTTTTTTGAGACGGAGTTTCGCTCTTGTTACGCAGGCTGGAGTGCAATGGCGCGATCTCGGCTCGCCGCAACCTCCGCCTCCTGGGTTCAGGCAATTCTCCTGCCTCAGCCTCCTGAGTAGCTGGGATTACAGGCATGCACCACCATGCCCAGCTAATTTTTTGTATTTTTAGTGGAGACGGGGTTTCACCATATTGACCAGGATGGCCTCGATCTCTTGACCTCGTGATCCACCCGCCTCGGCCTCCCAAAGTGCTGGGATTACAGGCGTGAGCCACCGCACCTGGCTGCACATAAGAAATATTATCTTCTCTTCAATCCTCCACATGGCTTCCAAAGAAAACGTCATGCAGCTCACTCCATTAACCCCGAGCATTGAATAAATAACCCATTATTTTAGAATATAACAGGAAACAGGGATATTGTTGGACTTGGTTTCGAGGGAGAACTTACTATGCTTGATTATGTGTGTTTTTCCTTTCAATATGACTTATCTTTTGCTAATGTGCCCTGGCTTGTTTACTATCAAGCCTACCCTTCAAACCCTCTCCCTTCCAATGACTTGTAGCTGCACAAATAAATAAGTCACCTACTTGTTCCCAGTTAGGGTGTGATATGGGAGAAAACTGCCCCCCTATAATTTTGACTTCAGATCTTCAGTCATGTTGGAGATGGAATTCCTTACAGCAGCACACTGAATAGCTCTCTTGGTTTGACAGATTGCAAAGGACAATGAAAAGTCGTCACCAGAGGCCTGGTAGTAAAGGAATAACATGGGCGCATTTGGCCAGGACTGATTTTTTTTTTCTCTTAGTAGAATCAGATAATGAGATGAACTGGATGTGTTTTCAGTGTGTCTACCTCTGGACTCTGAGGCTGGAGCTGAACCCATGCCTTGGACATACTGACTTTTTTGATCATGAAATGGAAGTCAAGGAGCAAAGTCAAAGGAGACATGTGGGAGCAGCCAGCCCTGCAGTGATGGCCATGAGCACCACTCTGTTGAAATACTCTGTTCATTACACTCTGTGCTGACCCTGGAGGCTGTCAGCTACTCTGTGGTACTGAGGCTATGTCTTTGGGTTTTTGTGATTCTCTGAAGAGGATGCTAATGTTAGACCACAGTTATTTTCTGATCCAAACCCTTGCATTAAAGATAGTCTTTCATTTTTTTTTTGAAATGGAATCTCACTCTGTGGTCCAGGCTGGAGTGCAATGGCACAATCTTGGCTCACTGCAACCTCTGCCTCCCAGGTTCAAGTGATTCTCCTGCCCCAGCCTCCCGAAGAGCTGGGACGACAAGCATGCACCACCATGCCTGGCTAATTTTCTGTATTTTTAATAGAGACGGGATTTCACCTTGTTGGCCAGGCTAGTCTCAAAATCCTGACCTCAGGTGATCCGCCTGCCTCAGCCTCCCGAAGTGCTGGGATTACAGATGTGAGCCACTGTGCCTGAAGCTGATATTTTTCACATTCATCTATTGGTCTTCACCCCTTCCGGGGATGGGGACACTCACTGACAGTGGGACAGACTCTTTTTCCCTCAGTTTCCTCCTTAGACAGCTATGCCTCCTGCTTCCTGAAATATAATGAGTCAGTATTTAACTGCTGCTTGCTAAACTGTGAATTCCATTTGGTTAGGAACCAATCTGATCTTTTTTTTTTTTTTTTTTTTTTGACGTGGAGTTTCACTCTTGTTGCCCAGTCTGGAGTACAGATCTTGGCTCACTGCAACCTCTGCCTCCTGGGTTCAAGCAATTCTCCTGCCTCAGCCTCCAGAGTAGCTAGGATTATAGGCATGTGCCACCATGCCCAGCTAATTTTGTTGTTTTTTTTTTTTTTTAGTACAGACAGAGTTTCTCCATGTCGGCCAGAGTGGTCTTAAACTCCCGACCTCAGGTGATCCGCCCTCCTTGGCTTCCCAAAGTGCGAGAATTACAGGCGTGAACCACTGCGCCTCACCAATCTGTTCTTTTAAAGAGCGAACGTGTATTGCTCTTTCCTTATTTTCCGTGCACCATGTTAAGTGCCTGATGTGTGTATTATGCCATTTGGTTTTCATAAGGACCCTTTACTAACATACGCATTTCAGAGCTGAGGAGACTGAGCTCAGCAAAGTTCAACTATGATTTCCACACTTTGTAGGTTCCCCTGTTACGCGCCCTTACGTAACTTTGTTTCCTTCGGAGTGCTTATCTCAGGTATAATGAATTATTTGTATCTGGAAGCAGACTATCTGAGGCCATTTATTTCATGGTTTCAAGAGGGTTCAGGTAGGCTCCCACACCTGGTCAGATTGAACTTTTACCTAACACTAGGAGGAGATGGCATTAGTCATGGTGACTCCCAGCGTTTCCGTGATTCTCTCTCTACAAATGTCTTAGCACTAAGAAAACTCATCATGGCCTTGGTGGAGGCTACTGCCAGCTGCACGAACCAGTGCTGCTTTAGAATCCCCCTAAAATCAGCGAGAACACATATTTAGCTGAAGATCAAACCCCTTGCCAAGAAAAGGAAAGCTTATCGATGCTCACATGCTCAAGCTCCAGCTCTGTAGGGGAGTTTCCCATTCTTGCTGTATCTTTTCCTGCAGAATAAGAGAAGAACCCTCAAACCAGCGTGGGCTGTCAGTTAGGATAGCCTCTTAGTAACAGCTTATCTTACTAACACCAAGAAAATGTGAGTTGGCTAGAACAAGGGAGAGCTCTGTGGAGAGACAGATCTGAACTGGAAGCCTTCTGCTTCTGCTCTTCAAAGGCTCCTTCACCTTCCAGCCTCAATTTTCCCATCTATACAATGGACACAGTGATAGTTCGTTATTAGTCATGAAATTCAAGAAGTTCATGGAGTTCTTGTGGGAATTATATAAGGTCACGTAAATAAAGGCATTTAGCCCAGATTCAGGAACATACTAGTTTTTGTTTTGGTAAGTGCCGTTTATTATCATCAATAACAGCAGCTCCTAGCAGTCCCTGACCCAGCAGTGCATTGTAGTCAATTGCGGACACTGATTTTCCCCTTTAGACCTAAAGACGTTTCCTATTAGACTATTGAAAACTTCTCCAGGATTGAATTTCTTCCCTTATTCTCTCCCACTTCCCACCCATGGAGAAGTTAGACAAGGTTCGGTTACCTGTAATCATCCATCAACCCACAACTCACTATGCACCAAACATTGGGTCATGCATTGAGAATCTATAAATCAATAAGACCCAGCCTCCGCCCTCTGAGAGCTCCCCATTTAGCGGGGGAGCTAGTCATGTAAAAGGATAAGCCAATATAATGGGATCTGCACAATGATAAAGGACTTGTATAAGAAATCAAGCGGACTTTCATTGAAATCTTGTCTTTTTTTTTTTTTTTTTTTTTTTGAGATGGACTCTCACTCTGTTGCCCAGGCTAGAGTGCCGTGGCACAATCTCTGCTCACTGCAACCTCCACCTTCCAGGTTCAAGCAGTTCTCCTGCCTCAGCCTCCCAAGTAGCTGAGATCGCAGGCAAGCGGCCCCACCCCCAGCTATTTTTGGTGTTTTTAGTAGAGACAGGGTTTTGCCATGTTGGCCAGGCTGGTCTCAAACTCCTGACCTCAAGTGATCTGCCCACCTCGGCCTCCCATAGTGCTCAGATTATAGGCATAAGCCACCGCACCCAGCCTGGAATCTTGTCTTCACCACTTACAACTGTGTGGTGTTAGGCAAGTTACTTAATTGCTCTGAGCTTTAGGTTCCAGTCTATAAAATGGGAACAATAATAAAAGCTACCACATAGGGCTGCCATAAGAATTAAAAGCATTAACGTAATTTGCTGTGTACTCAGTGCCAGCATACAAGCAGCACTCAGTAAGCACAAATACTAATAGCAGCAAGAAGAGATGTCAGTCCTGCTTTTGTAGGGGAAGGTTGATCGATCATCAGGGAACGTTTTGGAGGAAAGAACTTTGAGCTGAGCTTTAAAGGAAAATCAAATATTTTCCCAAAAGAAAGAAAGTGCCAGCTGCAGAAATAGCAGGTACAAAAGCCTGAGCGGGTGAGCACGCACTTGCCCATGTTGCCTGCGGCTTTTCCGGCATGGCCATGAGGGAAACAGAGGCTGAGCCTTCCCTTCTTCACTCACATTGAACTCCCACCCACTGCTGCTACTTTTTATTGTTGGCTGATGTTTTATTTGTGATGGTCCCCTCTCTGGGACAGACTGCTGTCACCACCAGTGTGGAGAACCACCCTCTTCCAGTATCCAAGAAGTCTAGGGTCATTCAGGGGCTTGGGGAGGGTAGAGAAGAAGGCAGGTGGGAGCTGAGCCACAGATGACGTATGGGTAAGACTAGGCAAGGACTTCTCCCTGTCCAGTAGCCCTGGGAGGATTCAGAGAGGGGAAAACGTGCTTAGGTTTATGCCACTCTGCCCAAGGATAAGGAAAGGAGATGTGAAGAGGCAGTGAGAACGTCCTCCTTGCCCAGCTGTCGGATCATCACGTTGATTAATTACTTGCCTCTTAGAGCAAGCACATTCGGCTTTGCCTTGCTCCTGTTGCTGTTAGGAGAGCCCCAGAAGACACACTGGGGCAGAGCAATTTGATTCTGTCATTCAGGTGTCTTTTCTGAATTAGGTACCCAAACCCTCTGACAGAGCTGCCCTGTCACCTGGAACAGAGGTGGCCAGGCTCACTTAGAAGATTGTTGATGCTATCCCCAACTGTCTCATTCACCTGAACTCCTCATCACCCATGTCTCAATTGTGCCAAGATCAGACTGTTGTCTTTATGCTGTATCATCCTGTAGCCAAATGGACCATCAAGTCCTCTGGATCCTGTTCCAGACACACACCGAGACTGAAGCAGCTCTATTCCAAAATACACAGAACTGGCCAACCTGGAAAATCCCCAAGGCTTTGGGAGTTCACCTTCAGGCTACTCTGACATTGACCCCACCCACCATTCCATACACAAAAAATCAACTCTATTATCTTTGGACCAACATCTGAAACATCACCATCATCGTTCCATGCTTTTGCCTTAAGACTGCATTCTCTGCTGAAATATTATCCCTTCCAAGTAGATTTGCCTCTAAGCCCCATCACTCCTAGCACTTGCCATATGAAAAAATCAGGGAATATGCGTCATCTGAAAGCATGAGCTGTACCTCATTGACAATTATATTTCCAATGCCTAGAACCTAAGATCAAGAAGAGGCTTCATATGTAAACATGGCAGGCACTCATTGTGACATCATGGAAGAATATTTGTAATTAGACAGGCTTTATGCTGTGTGTCATTAGGTTAGATACCCACCCATTCTTAGTCTCAGTTTCTTCATATTATAATAAAAATGATATCCTATTATGCATTCCTGTGGATTAAAAAACTGACAAAATGAAGATTATAGTCTAGTACATTATGATTGTTCAGTAAATCATAAATTTTCTAGTGATCCAAAGTACATATAGAAAAACCTCTCATGGGGAGAAATTCATCCTCCAGCCATACTGTAAGTTCCTCTTGCTTGGCTATGGGGACTAGATTTTTTAGAAGTCCTAAAGGAAGGTCACAAGTTTGCCAGGTGAAAGGTGGTTTCAAAAGAATGAAGGAGGGCTCTGCATCGTTTTGCTACCTTTCTTAGATGCACTGACACTTCCCAGGAGTTTTGCCACCACCTAAATAAAGTCCAGGGTTTCAAGGAATGGGTTCTCAACTAACCAACTTAGCTGGTTCTGGAGAGGAGAGGGTAGTGGCTGAAGATCGGTGGACAAGAAATGTAGAGCGATCAATGGTATGTTTAATCAGTTGTGTGGCTTGTGAAATGTATTAGCTTTTTTCACTGCAAATCTATTTTAAAAGTTAATTGTTTCATCAAAGTATGAAAAAAATGATTGTGATACTCAAAAATGTGGACAGAGGTCACAAGTTCACAAGTGCATGAGTTAGGAGAAACAATGTGTTTATACCGTGGATAGCTCCCAAGAATACTTCTTTTTTGCTGGGGAGGCAGGGAGAGGGAGTCTTGCTTTGTTGCCCAGGCTGGAGTGCAATGCGCAATCTCAGCTCACTGCAACCTCCGCCTCCTGGGTTCAAGCAGTTCTCCTGCCTCAGCCTTCTGAGTAGCTGGGACTACAGGCATGCACCACCACGCCCAGTGAATTTTTTTATTTTTAGTAGAGACGGGATTTTACCATGTTGGCCAGGCTGGTCTCCAACTCCTGACTTCAAATGATTCACCTGCCTTGACCTCCCAAAGTGCTGGGATTACATGCAAGAGCCACACCACCTGGCCAGCTCCCAGTCATTCTATTCTCTCCTTGAGCCTCTGTCATGAGGTAGCTTCCACTAACTCTGTATTTTCCCATGCCCAGATTGGGGACCGTGTCATGGCATTTGTCAATTACAATGCCTGGGCAGAGGTGGTCTGCACACCAGCAGAGTTTGTCTACAAGATCCCAGACGACATGAGCTTCTCCGAGGCTGCCGCATTCCCCATGAACTTTGTCACGGCCTACGTGATGCTGTTTGAAGTTGCCAACCTCCGGGAAGGGATGTCTGTGCTTGTGCACTCAGCTGGTGGTGGCGTGGTAAGTCAGCTGTTTTAACTTCTCTTCCTGAAGTTTATGATGCTGGAAGTGGAGTGACATGCTCCTAAGATCTTATGTGAGCTATGTCCTTTAGTAGGAATAGCCTCTATGGTTCTGGTAGAGTTCGTATGGACAGCAGAGCCCCTATAGATGATTGCATCGAGGACAGGATAAGCCTGAGAGATGGTTTCTCTGGAGTTCTGGAAGGTCGACAAAATGGCCTGTGAAGACACAGTGGCTCTCAGAGATGGTTCCTGTTGAGAAGCATTCTCAACAGTCTTGGTATCACGATGAAAAGTCGTGTCAATCTTTGTAAGATGGCTCACAAGTCATCTACTCCTGCTATTATTTGAAATGACAAAAATGGTCATTTTGCCAGTGATTTAGGTTTTTCAATAAATTGCAGTGGACTTGATGGTTCCCATATTAATGACATTCTTACTCATTTGTATTCTGCTATATTTTCTTGAGTGGGAGAAAGGTGGGCCGAGATTATACTAGCACACTGGAAAGAATACGTAAACCTAAGGACATTCATGAAAGTGGTTGTACTTGTCAATGTCATCTGTCAGGTGTGTCTCTGCCAAGGGGGAAAATGATGGAAATCAAAATTTCAGCTCTGGATTTCAGGGAAGGCAGAAATTTCTCCCACGATTTGTCTGTGTCTCAGTGACAGCCATTCGGTGTATACTGCATGCCCACTACATGGCAAGCACTATATGTGTGTTATTGGTCTACTGGGGTTTGGGTGGAATATTGGTGTTTCTGAGAGTTGAAGGTACTACCCACCAGTTCAAAAAATATTTATTAAACACAGCAAGCATCTTCTAGAATCTGTGGATATACAGATTAATACCCTATCTTATAGGGTTTGAGAGGTTCTCAGAGTCACTGATTCTGTGGTTTGATAAACTCAGAAATAAACTCTTATGATTAGCTGTATCTCAGAGATATTTCGCTGAAGGTTTTGCTAGCATAGCATTGATTTTTTTAAAAACTTGGCTTTCTGTAACTATCAAAACCCTACACAGTGTAGGGCACATTTCCGTTGTTTCTGTGTGAGAAAACAAGCTCACATCCAAAACCATGAGGGCAAAGATAGGAAACTTTAAGAATGCCTCAAGAAGAATATCTTCCATCACTTTAGCAAATTTGCTGATGTCTTTTGACCATGAATAAAGACATAATAAAAGCTAAGCATCCCTTACAAAAGAAACGGCTTTCAGTTCTGGTGAATCTGCTAACAATAAGCAGACCATTTAGAATGCTGGCATTTATGATCTTAGTGTGCTCGGCATACAAAGCACTAGAGACCTGTTTTCATACTATCGGCATAAGCCTCAGTCTTTACAACGGTGCTGGACTAAGTTCTTCTGAGAATTCATTTTTACCTATGAGATATCCTCTTATGTTTTTATTTATTTTTTGTTGTTCTTAGAGCAAAGAAGAATGTATTGGGGCATGTGTCTTACAAAACAGAATATAATCTTGAGAAATTGAAAAAGTTCTTATCATGCTTTCTTCTGGGCTTACTGATGCCACTGACAATACTACCTAAAGTATAAAACAGGTGAAGAAACTGAGGAAAGTGGACAATGAGGGTTGGAAGATAAGTCAATGTACATAGTACAGGCTATGCTGTCATAAAGCTTTTGCTGAAGATGAACAACAATTTCGCCTCTTAGCTTTCTAATAGTGAGTGAAAACGGAAAAATGGTCATCCATGTGAACTGTGTTCATTTGATTGAAATAAAGCAGTTACTAGGGGTAACCATAACTAACGCTGGTTTTGGGGACCAAAGGACTCTTTCTCTGCGGTTTCCCATAAGAAATGTATGCAGAAATGCAATAAACATCCTCAACAAAGCTGTTACAGCAAATGCAACTCTTTCCATATGATTTTTCTTACGGTGCGCTCCTAATGTAATCTGAGTGTATCAAAGTAAAGCAAAATTTAGTGAGAGCATATATTCTGGGGGCCAGAAGGATATGGTCTGGTTTAATTTCCAGACGGAGTTGAAAAGCACAGTTGGACCCATCTCTCAGGAGGGCTGGTCTCTTTGAATAATGTGTCTCTCAACCAAGATTTGATAGATAGTGGTACAGCCGGGCGCGGGGGCTCAAGCCTGTAATCCCAGCACTTTGGGAGGCTGAGGCGGGTGGATCATGAGGCCAAGAGATCGAGACCATCCTGGTCAACATGGTGAAACCCTGTCTCTACTAAAAATACAAAACATTAGCTGGGCATGGTGGCGCGTGCCTGTAATCCCAGCTACTTAGGAGGCTGAGACAGAAGAATTGCCTGAACCCAGGAGGCGGAGGTTGTGGTGAGCCGAGATTGCACCATTGCACTCCAGCCTGGGTAACAAGAGCAAAATTCCATCTCAAAAAAAAAAAAAAAAAAAAAAAAGATAGATAGTGGTACAGCAGTTCAAGGTTACCATTAGAGAAGACAGTTTTGGCCAAGTGCAGAACCACATATGCGAACACGCCACTGAGCTAGGATGGTTTGGGCACTGTCTTACAAAAACCAAGGAGTCCTGCCGAGCGCTCACACCATCACACTCCCCTGCAGGGGAACGTCCAGTGAGTCCCTGGCACCTGTATGTTACCTTACATGGCAAAAGAAACTTGACAGGTATGGCTAAAGTATGGACCTTAGGATAGGGAGATTATCCTGGATTATTCAGGATGACCCAATGTAATCACAGTGTCCTTAAAGGTGGGAGTGGGAAGCAGAAGAACCAGAGAGAGATTTAGAGAAATTACACTGCTGGCTGTGATGGAGGAACAGGCTGTGAGCCAAGGAAGCAGGTGGCCTCTAGATGCTGGAAGAGGCAGGAAATGGATTCCCTCTGCAGCTTCCAGAAGGAACACAACCCTGCTAAGATCTTGATTTTAGCCCAGTGAAATCCATTTTGTACTTCAGACCTCTAGGACTTTAGTGTGATAAATCTGTGTTTTGAGCCACTAAGTTTGTGTTAATTTGTTATACAGCAAAGGGAAACAGGTAACTGCCACTTTCCCCAGGCTGCCTTTCCCCCTCCCTTTTCATTATGGTGAGCCCGCAGAGGCCTGCGGAACATAAAAGTAGCAAATTGCAGAACTAGGATTCGTACCCCAATTTGGCTGATTCCAAAACCTCTTCTTTTTCCATTCAACAGCCCAAAATGCTGGGAGAGCCAGCCCAGATCATTCAGTCCTTCATTTAACAAATATTTGTTCACCCTCCACCCAGTACTCAGCATAGATGTTCTCAAGATCCAAAAGACTGGCTCAGGTACACATTTCCTAACTTGATGTCGATGAGATGATGAAGAGGATTAAACCTAGTCATAGCTGGGATAAAATTCCCTAAATAGAGTTATATAAAGCGTGTAGCTCTAATGGCACCAAGACTTCTGTCTGAGTTTCATCAAAGGCTGGGATGGGAAATTTGCAGACAGCCTGTGAGAACTACCAAACTGAGCTATGGTTTTAAGGAAACTTGAATATAGCATGGAAAAATACTTCAGTCCAGAGCAGGATACGCTCTTGGAATTGTCCGCTGCCCCCATGCTCTGTCATATCTCTGAGGACACTGTTTTCCTCTGACAATAGCATGACCAGATGGCCCCAAATGGTAATGCTGTTAGTAAGATCTTTAGAATCTGGTTGAAAATTGGCTCACAAGCCTTTAAAGGAAAAGTAACAAAATAAGTAACAGAATGAGGCTCATGTTGGGACCTCAAGAGTTTTGTTGCCAATCCCATTTCATGAGCCCTGTCCATGAAGTTGCTATGACTCTGAGCCTTGTGATCCAGGTGTGCTCTGTCTCTGGAGAGTGGCTTTACTGTTCCTGTGAGGTTATTTGGGTTTGTGTCTGACATGTGATGCTTTGTAGCAGGCGTCCCCAAACTTTACACCCAGGGGGCCAGTTCACTGTCCCTCAGACCATTGGAGGGCCACCACGTACTGTGCTCCTCTCACTGACCACAAATGAAAGAGGTGCCCCTTCCTGAAGTGCGGCAGGGGGCCGGATAAATGGCCTCAGGGGGCCGCATGTGGCCCGCGGGCCATAGTTTGGGGACGCCTGCTTTGTAGTTTTCAGAGTCCTCTTAACTTGATCATCCTATCTGAGCAGAGATTACTATAAGCAGTGAAGCATCATTCCCATCTTACAGAAGCTGATGGTTAGAGAAGATGAAGTGGGCTGGGCATGGTGGCTCACACCTGTAATCCCAGCACTTTGGGAGGCTGAGGTGGGCGGATCATGAGGTCAGGCTATCAAGACCCTCCTGGCCATGGTGAAACCTTGTCTCTACTAAAATACAAAAAAATTAGCCTGGCATGGTGGCACTTGCCTGTAGTTCCAGCTACTCAGGAGGCTGAGGCAGGAGAATCACTTGAATCGTGGAGACAGAGGTTGCAGTGAGCTGAAATCATGCCACTGCACTCCAGCCTGGTGAAAGAGCAAGACTCTGTCTCAAAAAAAAAAAAAAAAAAAGAGAGAGAGAGAGAAGACGAAGTGAACCTAAGTGGCAGCATGTGCCCTGGCTTCCTGGCCCCATCTGATGCTATCACTGCTCCACCGCCCCCAGCCAGCCCCTCGAGGGAGACGAGATGCACCTCTCTTCGTGCCTTTTCAGAAACCGTCTCTGGGAAGATAAGGCAATATCAGCACTCTCCTCTCCGGCCACCATGACCTTCTCACTCTTCTCAGAGCACTCTTTATCTTATGGTGTGCTCCTAGCGTCATCTAATAGCATCAAAGTAAAGACAAATTTGAACTTCTGAACCTCTGTGCCTTTTCACATGCTTTTTTTTTTTTCTTTCCAAAATGGTCTTCTCTCCAAATTCAGATGTCCGCTCCCATGGGAAGCCATACTCTTGTCTGGGTAACTTTAGCCCTTTAGTAAAAGCTATAGGAGAATCTTTACAGCCTTTCATTTGTTTATGGTTTGATATGGTTTGACTGTGTCTCTACCCAAATCTCATCTTGAATTATGGGTCCCAGAATT